AAAAGCGCCAGGTCTAAGGGTGTCCAGCTCCTCCAAGTCCAAGGCGTCGAGCGTGGGCGAAAGCATCCAGCCCCCCCCAAGGGCAAAACCACGACGAGCGCGAAGGCGTCCAGCTTCAACTTTGTTCGGAAGCAGTCGCGAGGTGCTGGCGCTTTCGCAGAGTCTCACCGCTCAATCTACATAGAACAGACAAACGGCGAACGTCTTAGGGCTTTATTTGTTTCGTTTATGGATAAGCATAAGGACACACCCCGGGGAGTCTACTTCTAGCAACCAGCGCAGAGCACTACCACCATCGCACGGCGCTAGATCAGTCACGTCGCCTCTTTCTTGCTTTTGCATCACCTGCGCTCCTGCCTCTCTGCTCAGCATCAGAGCAGCGCCCGCCCTAGTCTATTTCAATTTGGTTCAGGTGTCTCCCTCAGGCATTGCCCTACCCCGCAAAGCCTGCAATAGCGTAGACAAGTGCCACCGGGGTAGCCTGCTGGGAGGTGGACAAGCTTGGCGACCTCCTCCACAAACGCAACACATGCGCAATCAGTGCGCGCATATAATGGACGGCGCTGCCCGTTCTCGATTCATTTCAGAGGGCACGGCTCTAGCGTATCCCCATCATGGTTGAGGTTCGTTCTCGACTCAGAGCACACAGAGATAGAGCTGCCCTCTATTAAGCATCTCCATGGCTGGGCTCGGTTCTCGATTCAGAGCGCACAGATATCGGGCCGCTCTCTATTATACATCTCCACAGTTGGACTCGCTTCGCGATCCAGAACACACAGAAGCGCGGCCTTCCTCTATTTATTATGCGTCCAGTCTCCACGGTTGGGCTCGGTTCTCGATTCAAGGCGCACAGATATAGGGCCGCCCCCGCCTCTATCATACATCTCCACGGTTGGGCTCGGTTCTCGATTCAAAGCACACAGATATAAGGCCGCCCTGCTCTGTCTATTATGCATCTCCATGGCTGGGCTCGGTTCTCGATTCAGAGCGCACCGGTCACATTTATAGGGCCGCCCTCTATTATGCACCTCCATGGTTGGAGTCGGTTCGCGATTCGTTGGATTTGGTTCTCGATTCGTCTGCATGCTATTCCCTCAGCTTTGTGTCCCTTTTGCCCTCCCTTTTTCTCAGGTCCTACTCCTGTCTCCGGATTGTTGTTGTGGATTTTGGTGCATTTTTTTAGGACCTAGACACCAGTAGAAAACACTCTAAACCTCCTTATCCTCATGGGTGGCAGCAACAACGACAACAGCAACAACGACAACAGCAACAACAACAGCAACAACGACAACAGCAACAACAGCAACAACGACAACAGCAACAACGACAACAGCAACAACGACAACAGCAACAACGACAACAGCAACAACAGCAACAACGACAGCAGCAACAACGACAACAGGAACAGCAACAACAGCAACAACCCCAACAACAACAACGGCGGCCGCCCTTTTCGCTGTTATTGTTCGCGATAGTTCAGCGGCGGCCCTTCTCGCCGTTGCTGTTCGCTATCGTTCAGACACGGGGCCACGAACGACCAAAGGAGAAGAGAGGAAAAAGCCGCAAGCACTCGCGCCAGCTATGGCCAACACGTTGAAAATGGCGCCCATGGCTTTGCGTATTTAACTGCCCGCCGGCGCTTGCTATCGCCTTCTTGCTTCTGGGCGGGTTTGGTTCCACGGTTTTCGCTATCTTCATCCAGGGGAACTTTTTTCGGTAAGGCCAACAAACCACACGAAGACGAGCCCCGGCTTGCTTGTTGCTCCTCCCACTTCCGCCTGCCGCTGGGCGGAGGGGAGTGCGCGCCCGTCAGGCGCTTGTTTCACAAGGTGAAACCATTCACGCAAGCGCCGGCTTTGATTACAAATTTTTTCCCTTCTTCAACGTCTCCCGGGGCACCCCGGCTCGGGGAGTTTGGATAATAAAAATGCAAAATACTGTCAACCAATGAGTCTCAGTCGATGACGAGGGGTCGCTCCTCTATGCAAATTACACAAAAGTACCCACTGTCTTCTTTTTGAGTGAATGAATGCACCCACTTCAGGGGTTTAGATGATCACTCCAGTTGTTCGAATTTTGACTAAGTACAACGACCGCGATAAGGAACCCGCCTTAAATATAATCGTTCGTGTCAGCAGCAGGAAAGCCCGAAAAGCCATAGCTGCATGCGAGACAAAAATTAGAAGCGTAGACTGAGGAGTATGCGTGAGTGAATGAATGCACCCACTCCATGGATATAGAAGACCACCACGCTACCACTTCCTTGTACGCAGTACTAGGATACCGCAAGTAGACTGGAAGTTGGCGCTAAGAGAATAATCTTCGTGACATCATAGTACTCGGTAGAGATGTAGCGGAAGTTTTTGCAGATCGTCTACGAGAAGTAGTCCTTGTAACTCAGTTGGAGGGTGAAGAGTCTAAGTGCTTAGCATGGCATGATGATGAGTCTTACGTAATCAAAAATATCTATTTTGCTGACTAAGCAAGATTTAGACCTTGGATCATCATAGAAGCCAAGATGATCGAAGATGATTTAAAGACTTTAAATGGCAGATAAGATAGGTGGATAGAAGGAGTCTTAAGCTGTCGCTCTTTTTAAAACATGAACCACTACACCTTCAACTCATGTTAACAGTGGAGAAAGTACTGGCTAAGTAGACCCTGTCGGGGTCAACTAAACTTCTACGCCAGTGCTCATCAGTCACACATGAGCATCGAATTCTAAAAGTAGAAGCTCTGGCATCAAATCAGTCACAGACAGAGGTCTCGCCTCTAATTCTGAAAGTAGAAGCTCTGGCATCAAATCAGTCACAGACAGAGTTGGACCCTTGTTAGCGTGGTAGTATATGCAGAGTTTAACTCAATACGTGATTTCCGTAGCCACAGAGGGCCTACCAGTCATCAATTGCAATTAACTGATAACGTGCGTAGAGCTCTTGAAGTTAGTTGTTCATAACGTAGAGTTGAAGTACGTGTAAGAATAGTTATCAGTAGTTCTTAATGTTATAATAGCTTGTGCTGGCACGGAATAAACCTAATATTTTCGAGGTGAAAACTAACCGGAACCGCGTCCGCGTGAAAACTAACATCCTTAATGTTATAATAGCTAACAAACAGTTGCATCAAAAGCAGAGGCGGAGCCTTAACGTAGAGTGATGCTGCCAAAAGAAGCAGGATGATGAGGAGGGTCAAAATTGTTGATGTTGCAAAGGCCCACACGGATGACCCGTTTGCTTGGTGAAGACGATACCAGCACTGCTTAGAGATGATAATTTGAGTTTCTTGATGACCAAGAATGATTACGATTGGTTTTAGGTGTTTTGGAAGGAGGTGCGTCTATGTGTCCTCCGTTTGTCTTTGTTATGCTTTTCGATTCTCCCTTTTTAGGAGACAGAGGAATAACAAATAGAGGTACCAGTGGAAGGACTACAAGGACTACCTAGCAGCTAAAGCCTACTTAGCCGTAATTTGTGGAAACGACCACGACCATGATCGTGAAGGCCCTTCTGGAAGCTGCAGTAGAAGGCTCGTCATCCATGAATCCCGGAACTGGCTCACCTTCGTCATCCATGAAGATAGCGATACACTATTTAGAAGAAGTGCTCAGCGAGTTCTTCTGGCATTCTCACTATAGTGTTGGAAGGGCTAAGTGGTCTCTAGAGGTAAAACTAATATAGTATAATTCATGGCATTGTTCTCACTATAGTATAATTCAAACAAGACGAGTCTGGTAGTAAGTTTCCTTCACTACTTCTGTCGTCAGCTTAGTTAAATTTACTTACAGATGAGCTAAAAGATCATGGATTGAGCGAGGGAGCCTTGCTCAATCTTTTCAGGACGAGAAAATACGGACAACATATTGAAAAATTACATTTCTCAGCGCTGCCTCGCTTCTTTTCTAGTACTACAAGTGGGAAAAGTAAAAGAGACAATGTCGTGAAAAATGGCATAAAAACTATAGATACTGCTCCTTCTGAGAAATGTAATTCTGCGTTCTGGTAGATCTTATTAGAAGGGTCACGGAGGTATTCACTCATTCACACACTTACCTGTTCGAGCGGTATTGTCTAGAGCGAAGGGACGCAAGTATCTATGAAGTATTTTTCTCGCTATAAGTAAATGAGCCTTAATAGGACTTTTTGCCGTGTTTGTTTGTTCCCGCTCTGGAAGCCTCTACTATCGCTCTCGGTCTCGCCACCTGAATTTGGAAATACCAATTTTTTTCTTTTTCAAACAAACACTATCGGGCGTCAGCTTTTTCTATCATGCGTAATTACTTGTGGCCCGTCTAGTGTGGGCCGTTAATATTGTTGGAACTACTCAACAATTCCAAAAAATCGACACTATCGGGAGGCAACTTTTCTATCAAAGGTTGCGCTGGGGATAAAGTATGAATCTTTTTAAGCGGAAGGAGATGGAGAATTTACTACGGGTTCTGAGACGAGCAGTGAGAGAGTAATTGTGTTGGACCATTCGAACACAGACTGTTAAGTCGCGTCTAGTTTCTCGGTGAGAAACGCTTGAGAGTGATACTGTTTGCACAATTTGCACTCACAGCCTGAGACTAATGATCTCTGGCTGCTTTGATCCCTGTGGATGTTCATTGGGGATGCAAGGAAGAAGTCTCAGCTTCATCATTGGGATATCATGTGGCATGGGGAAACTTTCATATGCTTCATACGGAAACGCTTATGCTATCAACATTGATTCATACGATCATCATGCACTGGCATTCATCATTGATCAGAACTTGACAAGACGTTATGGACCTGATTACAGCTAAGAAACATTCATCATTTCTACTATCTGAATACGTTGAAGGTTCTTTGCCTGATGATCACTGATTTTGGAACTATATGCATTTAGGTCTGTAGGTTATCTTTGAGATCATTCCGGTGTTGTTTTGTCCTTGACTGTATTGGGAGGCTTGAGCCACAAACGAGAGAGAGAGGAGAAGCCAGAGACACCCGCGCGACGGTAAACCCGTCGGGCGTTTGGATGGTGCTCCGGTAACCTTTTGCCTGGCGATCTTGGTCATTTTGCTGATCTTCATCCTTGTGATCTTTGTGACATTTCGAGGATTATGACCTTGACCAACACCCCTCCTCAATCGTTGCGTGTCGAAGTCCCTAGTCTCTGGACTACCACGGAAGTCATATCTCCTAGCTGCTCTTCTATGGCTACGGTATACTCGGCTAGAAACCAAAATAAACCGAATATACTACACTATAGTAAGCTAAATCATCCCCATTCGTTTCATCGTCTGAGGAATCACAATCATCATGCTCAACTTTAGTTATCGGGTTATCTATATGGTGAAGTAGTAGTCTACGTTGAGACGAACTACATTCTAACTTAGTTAAGCCATCAGCCTTCATTAAGTTAGTTGGACAGAAAACTATCTTACTGGCCGCATCACGCACACGCAAGTAGCGAAGTGCATAATGGCGACTCTTCGGGCGTGTGTCAGTTGCTTTGGCTGTTGTGATCGCGGATTGGTTGTCGATCCAGAGCACAGCATTGTCTAAAGAGGGAGACAAGCCGTTCTGTGTGTGTACCAACTGAGTTGGTAGAGGCCTATAGAAGTCTGTAAAGTCATGCAGTTCACTAAGCACAATAGTGTCAGAAGCTGCAATATATTCACTTTCAGCCGTAGAATAGGCACGGACAGTTTGTCGGTTACTTCTCCAAGCAATTGGAACGCCTTTGAAATACATGATCGATCCACTTGTACTTCTCATAGTCTTTACGCAGTTGGCGAAACCTGCATCACTAAAGATATTCACCTCTGGCATATCTCTGCCTTCAGGTAGTAACTTTGAATAGATTCTATTGAATTCTTCTTCTTGCTCTGGTGAGTATTCCAGTCCTTGGTCTCTCGTTGTCACCAGATACTTTAGCACTTTTCTGGCTGCTTTAACCATTCTTGTTGACGCGGGTTTGCTGACATGTCTAGCCAATGCTGCCACCGGTACAGAAATGTCCGGGCGCGCGGTTACAGCTACCCATAGCAAGGCACCAACTACCTCACGAAAGGGATACCCTTCGACTATCTTGATCCCCTCCTCAAGAAAAGCCGACTCGTCAAAATTGGGCGAGTAAACCGGTTTTCCGACATCAATTTCGAATTTCTTTGCGATTTTATCAATGTACTCCTCCATATTGAGCCGAAATGTTCGAGCTTCACGGCAGTAGTACACGATGGCACCTAAGAAGTCGAACCTGAGCCACGTTTGACCCCAAGGGGTTGGAACGGACTCCACATCAATCGCACGGCCAGGGGCACGCGAGAAGATGAGTTCTAGTTCGGTCTTGAGCTCATCAAGATCAGGACCCGTTGCAAGATTGTCATCAACATAGACTGACATCTTGAGGAACTTCCCAGGTACCTTCGCACTCGGCTTTCTCCATAAGCCTGGCGCAGAATCACACGGCTCCCAGCCAATACTGGCTAGTATGTCGTGATATTTCTTGAACCATGCTCGTGGTGCGTCCTTCAAGCCGTATAAGGCCTTCTTGAGCTTCACGATCTCGCGTCCATGCTTCTCTGCCCAGATGGGTGGGAGACGGCAGAAGACATCGCGATCGAGTTCAGCATTGAGGAACGCAGAATCTAAATCGAACGGGATCACATAGTCCTGTTCTGACGCAGCAGATGTCAGGAGCAGCCTATTAGCGGCGTGTGAAACTACGGGAGCAAAGGTGTTTAGCTCTCCTGAACGATCTAGATTACCGAGGACACAAGCGCGAGCCTTGTATCTTCCACATCTTTTAATAGTTAGAATTATGGCAATTGGTAGAGCCTGTCGCGCGGTCGCAAGCTCCTCGTCAGAAGCTTCTTTCCACGTTTCAAAGGCTAGTAGTCTCGCATGCTCTTTGTCAATAACCTCCCGCCATTTGTCGGCATCAGGAGACTTGAGTGCTTGAGCAACGGACAAAATCACATATGATTCGACGAATTCCTCATCTTCGTCTAATTCACACGTGCCACCTACTGCACTAGCGAACAGCGCCACATTCTTTCTCAGTTCTTCTAACTGTTTCTTTGTTCTTCGAACCCTGCTGCCTGCTTTGTCCTTCGCTCCTTTTGGTCGGCCACGCTTCTTGACGTGTGTACGGCGTTCGCCTGCCACAACACGTGCTGGAGAAGGCGCTTTCGACTTAGACGGACTTAGCGGAGCAGATGTCTCGCGATCCTTCGCTTCAGCATTCCCCTCCTCAAGTGAAACACCTTTTGGAGAGTCAGCTGCGTTGGATTCCTCTACTTTATCCAGTGTCTCAATAAATAATTCGTCGGAAATCGCGGTCGGTCCACCTGGAATGTGCTCCGTGCCAGAGAACCCCGATTGATGATCCAGCCTTTGCACTGACTGTCCAAGCAAGGGGGAGCCCAGCGACGACGCGCCACTCTGCAGATTTTCCAGTTCGTCATACTCAATGTAGATGCCCTTCTGATCTGGCAAAAGCCAATCGATATTTTTAATTAGATAGTCCTCTCTGAACTTTACATCTAGGGTAGAGTATTCCGCCCATCGATGTCCAAGCTTGCAACGATCGTCATGAGCGAAAGTTCCAACCAACCAACCAGACGACTTCGGACAGAGTCCAAGGAAGACGCCACGGCGGTACTTGGCCGAGAGCTTGGGTTCAGGAGTGTTGGCTTGAATTTGTTCACGAAAGTAAACTAGACAACCAAATCGGCGGAGCATGCCGATTGAACTCTTCGATGAGTTTCTACCAGTCCTTTCTTCTAAGATTTCAATTGGACTCTTTCCATCATGTTGAGGCATTTTTGCATAGTTATGCGGTAAACGATCCCAGCAGTCACCAGCGTACTCGACGCAGTAACACCAGAGGCGTTTATCAACTTTAGTCAGCATTGTGCGTACACTGCCGAACAAAGTCCGCATAAAACGTTCGCAGGTCCCATTCATCTCCGGATTATAAGGAACAGCCGGACTGTCTGAGACTCGCAGCGATTGCATAACTTTGGTCATGTCATCACTGCTCAGGACAGGTTCTCCATCCCTCCGGAGGAACCACACTACCTTGTCATCAAGTGATAAGGAGTAGTCCTGGCGAATGCCTTTGATAACTTCTTCTATTTCCTCCACACAGTCACTTTTCAGCTTAAGCGGTCGACAGAACACCTTCTTAATTACATCACAGATGATCACTAATACACATCTCTTTGACCTGACTGATACGGGTTTGATTCCAACAGCAAAGTCGATTGCTAGTAACTTCAATGGTTCAGGTTTGTAGTTCGAAGTATCTCTAGCTTTTGCATGTGGTGCGCGTTGGCCTTTATGTAGATCACACTCAGGGCAATTTACCTGGAGGCCATCTATATGAAAGTGCCCACATCTTCTATGAAGTTCGAGTCTTGTAAGGTAACAACTACTGACTCCTTCTTCTACTGTTGAACAAATATAACCACTATCAGTCTCTTCTTTAAATAAGTTGCATGCAAGTATGGGAAGCTGCAAGCGTGGATGACTTCTTATGGGTATGGCCTGGCCGGTGTCCGTATGTACGAGACAACCACCTGCGCCTTTGAAGTTGAATTCCCATCCTAATTGCGAGCAGTTCCCTTCACCTAACCAAGGTATAATACGATCTAAGTCCTTTGGTAGTGAATCATAATAAACACCATACTGGAGCCCTAAGATGTTTGACTTTAGTTTTCCTACTCTTCCGTCTTTACTTCCAGCGCTACCAGTAATCCTACAAGTTCTCATAGTTATTTCACTAAAATCGTCTTTGTGTCTTGAAAGATATTTGTTTGCACAACTATCGACTAGACTAACTTCTTCTCTTGTAGTAATGGAACTAGTTGAAAGACTATGTCCCACAAGTTTTACCTCCCCTGTATTATTTACGTTTATTTCTTCACCCTCATCTTCATCCAAGTTCAGCGAGCAAAATCCGCTTTCCACCGGTTCCGCAACTCAGCTCTGCTTTCCGCCGTTGAGAGCTTGCCACAGCTCCGCAACTTGGGACATGTGAACCATGCCATTACCCTTTCCACCTTTACCCATAGCACTACTAGATTGGGAATTGGTGTTCCAGTTCCAGTTTGCCTGGTTCTGTGGATTCTTCCAACAAGACGCGGATTTGTGACCCGGTTTGTTGCAGATCCAACAGACTGGACGGGTGTCTTGTTTTCCAGAACCTTTATTATTTTTGTTCTGCGGCTTTCCTTTGCCGTTCGAATTGGAGGCATAGACCTCGGCGGCGATCTTCTTCTTTGTGTTTGCCTTGAAGCGCTTGAGAGCACTTTTAGACAGAAAGATCTTACCACCTTCATTGGCCTTTTCCTCGTCATCCTCCTCTTCACGAGAACGTTTATTCGAGGTCTCCTGAACATTGACCGGGAACGCCTTCCCGAAGGAATCGTTCTCAACTTTGTAGGTTCCCTCCTCGATCAACGTCGCAAGACGCTTTTCAAGTCGGTCACCAATCTGGTCAAATGTCAGACCATCTTCTTCCTGCATGCGTTCGATCGTTGCCTTGAAGTTCTTGCAGAACAGCTCGGGCAACTTCTGTAGCAGTGCACCATTTTGTTGGTCACTTTCTGGCACTCCTGCTTCCGGCGGGTACACGGTGGGCGACTGGTTCATGATGTCTCGGACTTTCGACAAGAATCCTGTGACATCTGCAGGTTGATCCGCGTTGTGGAACTTCAACACGCCATCCGTAAGCGGTTTTACTTTCATCCGTTGTTCCTGACGGTTGTTTTGATCGAAGTGTCCTACATCACGAAGGAGCACAACAACCTCACCTGCATCCATCGCATCCACCTGCCCATTATCGTTCTGGTTGTTGATGAACGACGCAGCGGCACCTTTCAGACTACGAATAATCGCATCTTTCAGGTTGCGCCACTTCTGCCGAATTGTTTCCTCCCGATTGGTAACTCCGTTAGGAATACCATGAGGAGCTGCCGGAATGCCGACTACATTCGTGTAGTTTTGAAGCAGGCCGAGACGGCTAGCTTCCTGACGTATGGCAAGTTGCCATGCTCGCCAGTCGGACTTCTGTCCGAGTTTCTTCGAAATTTCTTTCGCATCGCAGGACATTTTGAAAAGTTGTTTCTAGATGGATTTCTACTCTATACTTAGCTCAAGGGTCAAAGTAGTGTTGGATACATTCGAACACAGACTGTTAAGTCGCGTCTAGTTTCTCGGTGAGAAACACTTGAGAGTGATACTGTTTGCACAATTTGCACTCACAGCCTGAGACTAATGATCTCTGGCTGCTTTGATCCCTGTGGATGTTCATTGGGGTTACATGGAGGAAGTCTCAGCTTCATCATTGGGATATCATGTTGCATGGGGAAACTTTCATATGGAAACGCTTATGCTATCATCATTGATTCATACGATCATCCTATGTTGATTCTCATCATTGATCAGAACTGACAGTACGTTATGAACCTGATTACAGCTATGAAACATTCATCATTTCTTCTATCTGAATACGTTGAAGGTCCTTTGCCTGATGATCACTGTTTTTGGAACTATATGCATTTAGGTCTGTAGGTTATCTTTGAGATCATTCCGGTGCTGTTTTGTCCTTGACTGTATTGGGAGGCTTGAGCCACAAACGAGAGAGAGAGGAGAAGCCAGAGACACCCGCGCGACGGTAAACCCGTCGGGCGTTTGGATGGTGCTCCGGTAACCTTTTGCCTGGCGATCTTGGTCATTTTGCTGATCTTCATCCTTGTGATCTTTGTGACATTTCGAGGATTATGACCTTGACCAACAAATTGAGGAAAAAAAAAAATTGATCTTGGGGTGAAGATCATCCGAGGTCCTTGGTGGATCTCCAGGCACTGAAGACGAGCACTGTGCATACATAATGTTCATCGCTATCGTTCCGCCCCAGTTGTCGTTTATTTTGGTACAAAAATATTTATACATCATATCTTTTAAGTCCCTTGCTTCAAGTGTCTATCTAAGTACAACATTGTTATTAACGCCAACAAGTAATAATGTGTTCTTTGGAACATGAAAGGAGAAGTCAGAAAAAATCGAGTAACTACGGTATTATACCGAGGAGAGCAGTTGTTTCTTCCTCATCCTCCTCTATAAACCTGTGGGGATCGACGTTTTCCACACAGTAATCCTCACTCACCACAGGAGACGAGCCGTTCTCCACCTTGCTTTCATTAGATAGTAGTAGTTAGCAGATACAATACAACGCAATACAATGCAATACAGTGCAATGCAATGCAATGCAATACAATGCAATACAGCGCAATGCAATACAACACAACGCACTACAATACAGTGCAATAAAATGCAATACGGTGCAATGCAATACAATGCAGTGCAATAAAATGCAACACAATACAATACAATGCAATACAGTACAAGGCTCAAGGTTAAAGGTTCGCGGCTCTGCAACACAATACGATGCAATACAATTACTGGTATTGTAAAATTCATTTTGAGGAACAAGAGCATCCTTCATAGTCATTGTCTCCTTTTGGTAGAACACGACGGCCAGGCACCTTAAGAAGCCACTTCATAAAGGGACAGTGAGATGCTTCTTGTTCTTAAGATGAGTATTTGAGTACGGAGCCCTTACTAAAAGCAAACCCTCTCAGAAAAGATCAGGATGCTTCTTGATGTTCTTATATCTGGAGGTGAAGACTTTTTAGTTATATAAAATAGGGAGGCATCTGAATATTTGAGTAAAAAGGAAACATCTGAAAGAATATACGTGTGGGGGCTGTACGACGCCCCCCCCCTGTGGTGTGGTACCGTGGTAGCCCTGCCTCCTGGATCATAAATGTAGAAGAACCAATAGGAGGCACCTTAATCTTTGAATATGCACGAGCCTTAACCTTAGGACTGGTCTTGTTCTTCTTCTTCCTCTCCTTTTTTCTTTTCCCGCGGCTCGTCCCGCTGGTTGTCCCGGTGGTCATCCCACTGGTGGTCCCGGTGGTCGCAGCAGCTTTTGGGCGTCCCTTTCCCGAAGCAGAAATGAAAGAACAATGCTGCAACGGCTTTAACAAGTGTACTGCTCACTCAACCACGTCAGCTAAAGCCTCAAAATAGGACGCCTCCATTCGCTCAATTACCTGCTCGAGAGGTGTTGTCTAGAGTAGTACTAGGAAAGGATGGGAATGGATCCACCTGGACGGAGGACGGATGTCATGGCGCCTCTATCTTGTGTAGCTATCAGTGTCTACTTTTGAGGCCATCCATAGACGAAAACATACCTCCCATAAAGAAGAAATACAACTTAGAATTACCCTCCACAAAATAGTACCCAACTACATCCTCAGAATAGTACTCAACATCCTCAGAATCAATAGTACATAACATCCTAAGAATACTACTCAGAATAACATTACCCCGCCCCGTATACTATAACATCTTTAGAATAACACTACAACCCCCCGTCAAGAAAAAGCTACTGGACTTAAAGTTGATCTCATCTAGCAAGACGTAGAAGCCGGTCAAATCAGTATCAGAGTCAGACATCTATAATTCATCTAGAAAGTACTAGTACATGAATGTGTATGGGTTTGGATTGCATTCTTACTCTAGTATGATCCCCAAGTCGTCGTAGCACGTGCAGAAACTGAAGGAGGCATTATTCATAGCCAGAAATGCTTCCACGTAAGTACATGCCTGAAAAATTCTTCTTGAGAAGTACTAAAAATAGTACTCTGACGAGTGTCGAGGCTATTTTTACTACTAGAGTATAGTGCGTAAGAGTAGCGACTCTGCTTCGTAGACTACTTCTAGTAATAGAGTTCTTGTGGAGAATTCTGAGACTGTCGTTTGTCATGTGTAGTGTTTCCCTGATCTCGCCTCTCTTGACGACCATGGTATTTTTTTTTTGCGTTAGGACTATATGCCACCACCCTTTCCATCAATTAATTAACCTGTAACAAAAAGATCATCCAAGTTACATACTGGGGGCGCACAAGACCGCACAATCGGCCACAAATCTACGAATATCGGTAGGGTTTCTATCTGATGACGAGACTGCTTTCTTCTTTTTTTTAATGTTTTTCTTTGGTATCAAGTCCATACTAGAAGAACTCCCCTATGTTCCAGGGCGCGGGGCGACGCCCCCCCACTAGCGGGAGGCAGGGGAGGGGGGGGCCGGGCGCCCTGGGCCCCTTTTGGAGGCGTCTGCCGGGGGAGAAAGGCCCCGAAAGGGGGCCAAGGGGCCACCCCCGGCCCCTCCAAGCAAGGAGCTTTGTGCCACCTGGAGGCCTGGGAAGTAGGTGGAAGGCCTCAAAGGGGGACCAAGGGGCTGCCGGCTTCTCGTTTGCGTGTACCCTACAGGCCTGAGGGGTTAGGTGGTGGAAGTCCGCGGTTGGTCTTCAGGTTCCCCCCTCCGCTCCCTTCCAGCTGCCTGGCTGTTCCCTAATAGGGGCCTCCGATGGTGGTGGGAGGCTTCAAAAGGGGCCCAAGGGACCGCCTGCGCCCCCGCCCAGGTGCCTGCCTGGGCCCTCAGTGCATCCGTTAGGCTTCGCCGCCGCAGCAGTGCACCGGCAACGGAAGGCCTCCGAAGACTGCAAAAGGCGAGGGGCGGGACCCCCTGAGCCGTGCCGCCTGTACCCTCCGGGCCCTTGGTCATCGGATTGCTTGCTCTTGCGACCGTGGCCGCCTCCGGCGGCCTTTTACCCCGGAGGCCTCCCGCCTGCGAGGGTCAGCAGATGCCAGGCGGTCCCTTCGGGACACGCTGAGAGGCCCAAGGGGAAGCCCGCGCCAAGTCTTGACGCCTTCCACCACTAGAATCCGCGAAAAATCCGCGCGGAAAAGGCCACCACTGACCAGACCACAGGGAGGGGGGAGGGGGGGCGGCCGTGCGG